TGAGACTAGTTTAAGCACTGTTCCTACGAAAAATACAAAAGTGTTCGCAAAAACGGGTCGTAAGCAGGTAGCAAGAGTAACGTCATCTGAAAGAGGCGATACAACAACTGCAGTTCTGTGCATGTCAGCTTCTGGCAACTTCATACCACCAATGCTAATTTTTCGCAGAGTTCGGATGAAAACTGAACTAATGGATGGTGCACCTCCAGGGTCTGCTTATGCATGCAATGCGTCAGGCTGGATGAAATTGGAAGTGTTCGCACAGTGGTTTGAACATTTTTTGACCCACGCAAAACCGTCTGCCGAAGATCCCGCACTTTTAATATTGGACGGTCACCTTTCACACACCAAAAACTTAGGCGTCATATTAAAAGCAAGACAACATAATGCCACTATTTTATGTCTGCCACCACACTGCACACACAAACTCCAACCGCTGGACGTTGGGGTGATGTATCCATTAAGCGTATACCATAACCAGGCTTTAGAGAAGTGGATGAATAATAATCCTGGAAGAGTGGTCACAGTTTTCCAAATAAGCAAAATTTTTTCTGAATCTTACCTGAAAGCTGCAGTTCCTTTAAATGCCATTAATGGATTTTCAAAATGTGGTATATTTCCGTATAACCCCGATGTTTTCTCTAATGTCGACTTCATTGCTGCTGAAACGACTGAACAGTCTATGGAATCTGACACTTCAAAACCAACTCCTTATATTGGTTCAGTATCTAATACGATACAGCCTCCGGCTTTACCTATTGCTTTCCATTCCTTCCCGCAGGATACAATTATGCAACTATCTCGTCAAGCTACACCATCACCCACATATGCAGAACAAAATAATTCACCATCGCTCTCTATCATTACAACTTCACCCTCCACAATAACTATGCATAATCCCATGTCACCGATTCCATCAACTTCTTTCGCTAATTTCACTCCAAGCAATATTCAACCAATGCCAAGAATATCAGGGAAAAGAAGTCACTCTAGGAGAGTACGAGGTAACGCATCAATACTAACTAGCATTCCCTACAAAAATCAATTGGAAGAGGAAAGAAAAAAGAAAACTAATTTGGAACGGAAACGAGCTTTACGCCAGGAAAAGAAAGCAAAGATTTCTACTATCTCCCAAAAAGGAAAAGGGAAAGGAAGGAAGAAAGGGATCAACCAAAAAAGAAATAGTAAAGAAAATAGGCACCAAATATCGGAATCGTCTTCAGACGAAGA